TGATATTACACCTGTAGGCCAGCTATATAAGGCCATCATCACATAATGAAAGAAATGAATGATTCTCCCTTAATTTTCCTCTCCCTGATTCCAGTTTCTTCCTTCCCTCCCTTCTCTCTTTTCTCTCCATATTCTGTTTCAGAAGGTCAAGCCTCCCTCGAAGAGGTTTCTGAGGTGAGCGGAAACTCACCATGTCCCCTGGAAAGGGTGACTACATCAATTTTTGGGAGGACCTTTGGCGGTGAGAATCACCTCTTTCTTTGAGATTTCCTATTCTCTAATCTCTATTCCTTGTCCACACTCAAAAACTGCCTTATTCCTCTTTCATCTCTTATCCTAACAGCTGAAGGTCTTGGTGATTGAGTTTAGCAGAGAGATAAGCAACAATGAAGTTTTAGGAAGTTCCTTTAAAATCCAAGTGAGAAACCCATGTCTCTATCAGCTTTACAGCCTCCACCTGTCAATTCTCATTATCAAATATCCTTGCATATCGTTTACTCCAAATGCTCCACGAAAAATGTTCCTGTTCTCAAGGTTGTGTTTCTCTAACACTTGAAGAAATGGAGGGTTCTGACAAAATCAAAGCCAATAGAAAGACACAGAGGGACTTTTTGCATACAGATAACACCTTGCTTGGATAGTTTTTTGTTTAGGAGTGAGCTGTCTTATTGTTCATATACTGTGCATGCTTGTACATCCCCTCATCTACAATCTTTTCTTTTAATATATGGTAGAAAACAGTTGTTTTTCATTCAAAAAAAGAAGCATTCATACCATGTAAGGGGAAAGGCAGCAGAGAACAACTTAGAAAAAGTACAACTACATAATTCCAACCTTGAAACAATGAGAAAAATACCTGCTCATAGAGAATATGGAATGCTTGTTTCACAGGCAAATTCACTTCCAAGGCAATGACCTGTGATATTGGACATGTAATCAGATAATAATGAATCCTGACCAGTTTGAAGCAGGCAGATTCAAATTTCAAAATGAAAGGTCATAAAGATGGGTGAAGTATCCAAACCTTGCCTGACTCAGGAAGCAACTCATACGCTGTATGTGTAGACAAGAATAAAGAAATACGTTGCCGAGAGACCTCTATATCAGCCTCCGAAATCCTTGGCACTGCCTCCTGCAGGGCACCATCTGACAATGTGACCTGTTCCGTATCGCATAATAACATACAGAAAAATAACAAAATAAATTATTTGACACATTTTAACCACCGTTGTCCACATTTTCAGCCTTCTATCAAAAATAAGGTAATCTTATCATATATTAAAAAAATACCTTCCATTGGTTGTGAAAATTTGTGTGCTAACACATGCAATTACTTCTTTTATCCTTCTTTTGATCATAAACTATATGTTTACCTTGAACTAATTTAAGTAATGGGAATATAATGAAATTACAACAGAGGTTGAATGTAGTTACTAGTCAGGAAGAAAAGACAAAACGTGTAACTTATGTCATAGAAATCTTAACAAAAAATGTTGGATTTTATAATACACACCTAGAGTTGCAAATTTTAAGTCCAATTACCTCAGAACCACAAATGGACTGCGATTACCTTCAACTCTTAATGAGAACAATGATGTACATGGTAAATGGTTACTATAAACACTGAACAGAAAGAATAAAAACCAAAAGTGCTTTGGGATAATAATTTAGCTAACTTTATTATATGGAACAAAGGACTTGGAAAACATCCAAAGTGATTATCTTATACACAACAAAATAAGACAGTTTTTGGATGAAGTGGCACTATTTTGAAATGGATTCCAAAGGAACGAAAAGCTATCTATATCTATATTAGAAAGAAGAAATAGGGCAAGCCAAGAGTCCTCTCACCATAGAGCTCGCATGTACTTCCTTCTCTGCTCATTTTTCACACATGCAGTTATCTATTTCTAAATTAAATTGCTAAATAGTAAAAACATAATAAGTCACAATAAAAATCCTCTAAGATCTTAATTTTCTCTAATAAAACTCATCATTGTTCTCTGTAATAAGATCACTCTGACATCTCTCTATCTCCCAATAATTAATGTCTGTAACATCTCCCCTCCTCCATTAAATCCCTTCTTTCCTCTTAAGTTTCTCTTGACCCCTTTTGACTCTCTCAATAAAGAATGGGTTTATAATAGGTTGGGTTGAGCTAAAGGCCAACTCAAGACTAACCCTACAAATGGACCCTGGCTTGGACCCAAACTGATGTCAAAACCTAAATTTTCCAACCCAAACCTAACCAAATCTCTATTCAACCCCACGCATTGCATGGGTTTACTTGCTAGTAGCTGATGAATTTGAAGATCAGAGTTTGCAAAGAAAAGATGTACAGCCAGTCATCATTGCCATGTATCTTTCTACAAGCTGCAGCTTTGAGATGAACCTTTTTTCTATTAATTCTCACCTTGAATCATCCCTGTTGTTGTATTTCTATCATGCATATAATTCAAACTTCATCATTATTGTTTAAAATAAAGAACACAGAAAATACCAAAAAAAAATCCAGAATGAAATCTAGAGTACAATCTTGTAGGGGATCCGAAATGGAGGCTAAGAGTTCCATCTATCTAGTTACAACCTCAACAAATGAAGTGTTATAATATACTTACCACACGCTGAAACACATCATTATCCACATCCATGTGGGTCCTGGTTCCAGGCATGTCAGGACTTAAGATTGAAGGAATAGAGTCAGGCTCCCTAGATAATAGGACAGTAACAGTATTCACTATCCCATAAATTCCATTTATATAAGGTTGATGTTCATCATGCCGCCATTCTTCATCGACTAAAAACTTGTACTGCATGTAAAGGGCATTTAAAAAGAAAAGAAACTTTGAGAATTAGATGTGCACAAAGGCACAGAAATGTATATGCATGCAGACATCATCCTATCCATCAAAATCACCAGATATAATGATCTTGTCGTAGTACTACTCACCATTCTTGGCAATACCCCAGCAGCTTATGAAATTGAGAGAATCCTGTATGGTTAAATAAATTCAAAGAATTTCTACCAGTTCATAAGCATATCATTTTATTGAATATAAATGACAACAAGTGAGACCCATCCCATCAACCCAACACCAGATAATTGGCATCTGGATTTGTTGAGTTGATTTAATCATCCCATAAATATTATACAAGAAAAGTTGGGTAAAAAGAAATAAAAGTAAGGTTTTAGAAGATAGTAACATGGACTTTTATTAGTATGTATTGCAATTCCGATTTAACTGAGCATTATGAAACATATATAACCAAATTAAAAACAAAAAAAACAAAAGAATCAGTGACTGCAAAAATGTACATCCATAGGGGAATACTACAAGATTGTTATTAATCACCACAACTGACAAATCATATCAATGAAAGCCACCACATATCATCATAGTAATGCATATCTGGTACATCCATCAAATTCACAGAGACTAAATTTTGCTACCAAGTGCTGTTAAGCACTTTGTTCAGGATAAAAATTTTAAAACCTACTATTATTTACACAAGGACCACCTTTTTTCTTCACCCAATCATGCCAATTAAGAGACAAACTTAGATGTGTCATTTAGGATAATGTTTAGATAGTATGTCAGGGAAAAGAGCTTTAGGAGCTCACTATTTGGAATCCAATGTATGAATTAATTCCAATTAAAGCATTTTTATCAGCAATTCCAATTAAATCATTTTGAACTGATCAGTCAAAAATATAATGTTTGATCAAGATCCCTGAAACCCCTGAGTAGCCCCAAAAGTTTAGAACATTTTGAACTGACTTCAACAAATCCTTCTACCTTTGACCTATGGCACAGGGGCCCTTCATTTTACCCAAGGTACCCATTTCAGAGAATACAAGAAAGAGGCATGAATATGAGATATTTCCCGGATTGGACAAACCCATATCGATTTGTCCAGAACTATGTTTTGATTGACTGGGCACTCACCCTGCGCAAGTTAATAATTAAAACAATAGTTTGCAAATTAGTAATTGAAGCTTGACTGCACACAATTGCAAAACAGGAATGCCCCCCATAATGTCATGTAATATGTCTAGGGATCAAATGTATTGGGATTAAGGGAGTTAAAAGGGCTGTAATATGTCCAGACTCCAGAACTATGTTTTGAGTGACTGGGCATTCACCCTGGACAAGTTACAATTAAAACAATAGTTTGCAAATTAGTAATTGAAGCTTGACTACACACAATTGCAAAACAGGAATGCCCCCCCCCCCAATCTCATGTAATATGTCTAGGGATCAAATATATTGGGGTTAAGGAGTTAAAAGGGCTGTTATTGTATCTTGTTACTTGGTTGGTTGTGGCTAACTACCCTCTTTGGGGAAACCTGATATAGATAATATCTGTTTTATTTGACAAATTAGTAATTTTCTCTTTTATGAAAAAAAAAATGTAATATGGATCTTCAATAAATTGATATATCTTGAGTTACAATTGCCATCTTACAAGTCTATTTTTGCATTCCTATATTGCTGATATTTCCTATTTGATTGCGGAGTGGGGTCTCACATTGTAGTTGAGGGGTGTTTTGCCAATTTTCCACTAGTAGATTATTCCCTATTCTTTTGCCTTATTTTAATAAATTTTTCAAGTTATCCATCCAAAAAATAATAATAAGGGAACGCATCTAAGATGTTAAAGTAATTTGCTTGTAATGAGCATATTTAAATCAAGGATTTAAATATCGATATGATACGTCTGATACGGGGCGTATTATATTGGTACCTGAGGGGATACGGGATATGTTATGACTGAACCTGTATCCCGAATCACGCATATCAGAGAGATACGCATTTGTACCGGCTCGTATCGTGTTGTATCGACCGATACACACCGATATGGCCGATACGGATCGGCATATTTTCTGCGTATGCGTTTTCTATAAAAATGTGCCTGGCGTGATTCGGACAAAAATCACCAAGCGTTAAAGACTCAACTGCGCGCTTGATCCACTAAGCCACGTTTCAACTTATCAAATTTGATGAAATAAAATAACTTTTTTCTATTCTAGTGTCCACATGTAATGCGGAAAAATTACATTTGTGTTTAACAATTCCAACAAAATAAAAAAAAATATTCAAAACTAATATTTTATAAACTAATAGAATAAATAATTTCTTAAGTCCACATTTATATCAAAAATTTGTAAAATATCAAGAATTTATACAAAAAAAAGATATTAATAATAGAATAATTATTTTAGTACTTAATATTTATAAATTTGAGCATGACATGCATCTTAAAATTTTATAAATTATTAATTAATATTTTAATTTGAACTAAGTAAAAGTATATATATATATATATTATTTTTAAAAATAAAAATATTATTTACAAAAACCTCGAGAATATAATATCAATTGAATTTGTCAAATCCATTAATCTAAATTTATACCAAAAAATGATTTTTATCTCAAAATTTATGGAAATAAAAATATAAATAATGGAATAATTATTTTAGCAATTAAAAATTATGAATTTGCATATGATGTGTATCTTAGAAAATTTAATATATTTGATATATTTTAAGTTAATATTATATATTTTTATAAATTTTTAATTTATATTTTAATTACATTTTATAATAATGTGTTTATTGTTTACAAAAATAAAAATATTGTTAACTAAACATTTGAGAATTAATTTTTAGTTGACTTTTGGTTAATAATCAAAATTAAAAATAGTAAAATAGAAAATAATCAATATAATAATTCACATATAATAGTTGCATATGTTTTGTGCCTTGAAGTTCAATAGAAAATAACATAATAATAGCTTTGCGCATGTATTAATTTTTAAAAAATATATATAATATGTTCCCGGATTCTTGATTGATATAATATCAATAAAATTTTATGATTTTTATGCATCCCACTATATGAATTGTAGTATATTTCTTCACATATACCTTTAGAATATACATTTTTTGTGTATCTATACATTAATTATGGCTATTTTGATCTTAAAAATATTTTTTTTATGAATGAATGGTGATCTTAAAAATAATGTTATTAATATGTTTATGGAATTTATATGCATTTTTTGGCGTATCCATATTTTTCCGTCCGTATCCATGCACTTCCAAAATGTATCCATATCCGAATCCAAGTGGTCTGATATGATACCCGATATCGATACCTTAATCCTTGATTTATATTTAGCAGCTAATTAAATTGGTATAATTCAACATTTCATCTTAAAAAAAAGGAATGATAACAACTTTTCAAGTTCAGGCTACAATAAAGAATGTGAAGTTCTTGATAATCATTGCTGTCATCATCATCTAGGCCTTTTTCTTTAAAAATAACATCATCATCATTATTTAAACCTTATTAGCCCAACTATGTATGGTCGGCTACATGGATCCTGTTTCGAAATTCTGACCTGCTTAATGGCATACCCATTGTTTTTTTTTTCTTTTTTGTCAGTACATATTCATTTTTTTTATCAGAAACGATAACTTTCATTAGAGATAAATTAACCTGAAATACAAAATTCAACCCTTATTAGAAAAGGTTGATCCAATAAACATCAAACATTACAGCACTGCCCAAAAAAGACTCTCCCTTGCAGTTCCTTGTTTTGCTAGGGCATCAGAAAAACCATTTGCTGATCTCCTTACCCACGTAAGTACATATCCATTGTTAAATTATGAGCGCTTAAATCATTTCTCACTACCTTGACCCATGTCCTTTTTGGTCTGCCCCAAGTCCTTCTAGCTCCTTCAACTTGTAACAGATCACTCTTTTATTACAGCTGCTGTAGGTGGTCTTTTATACATGTGATCAAACCATCTAAGTCTACTTTCTCTCATTTTATTGCCAATTGGAGTGACTCCTAGGTTCCTTCGAATTACTTCGTTTCTGACCCTATCCTTTCTAGTTTTTCTGTTCATCCATGTTAGCATATGGAATTCTGCCACACTCATTTTTTTATTGGGCATGTTGTTTCTTGACAAGTGTGATTATGTGAAGTTCTTCATAATAATTCCCAAATCTTTTCTTCCTTATCAAAGTATGTTGATTCAATTCTATAAGATATTCTGGACCCAAAATCTAGTTATCATCTTGATACAGAGTATCATACCATGTCTTTTAAGGTAAACCAAATGAATCAATTTTCATGGCCCTAATAAATACGATAAGTTGTTTTAAGTTTTAAGTAATGGGAATACTTTTATGTGAGCAATCTACCATAAACCATTATCGTTTTTGCAAATTATGTTTTATTTGATTTAAGTTTTTCCATTAAGGTGATGTATGAACGTGGTATGTTCATCCAGTGAAATTGTAAATAAGCAACTATAGAAGAACAACAATTGAGTGTCTTGAAGAATCCACACGGGTACAGGATTTACAAGGAAAAGTCTATACAATTGCAAACGGTTAAGAACAAGATCAAACTGCCAACTCTCTTAAGTTTTCATACTTATTATTAGATTTGATAGAGAGCAGCTACCTTGCATTAAATGGAGGAATCGTGACAATAATTAAGAACATGCTCATGTAAAATTACCTGGTGATGTCCTGGTGTTAAACTGCAAATAGCCTGAAATACAGTGGGACAACCCTCGACAGGGGACATCAGCAAATGTTCAGACCACCTGAAAGGGATAGTTACCGATTATAACCTCTTAAACAGATAACAGAACAAAAAATACTCATTGGCTTCAGATGAACAATTTTCTGCTGGATAACCAAGTTGAAACCGCATCAAATCTGGAACAACAAGAAACCCCAAATTAATACAAAAATATGATTATTCAAATCTCACCTAGTGAAAGAACCGCTGAGGAATACTCTTCTTCCCCCATAAGGCCACACAAACCTCATGGGAACTAAGGTTGTACCAGCAACCCCACTAGCTTCCGGCACAGAATCTGTACCCGAAGAGTACATTTCTCCAATCTTATGCAGAAATATGCGAAAACCAATCCTCAAAAAGACAAATCAATAGTCCCCTTATTTTGGTTGCTCTCCGTAAAATGCAGAAACACCCAATTCACACAACCATCTTGTAGACATATACAACCTTTTCACATTAATAAACTGCCAAAAATTAAACACCCCCCATGTCAACTGTATAAGCAAAGCCCATCCAAAGTCCAATCCCACGATTAAAAACAGTGATCTTAACTCCGTCCAACAGGGATCCTCCACACCACCGCAGAGGACCCCTCAGTAATGATACATTACGGGCCAGCAAATCGAACCGGTCTCGCCAGAAAACTTCTAACGCAACCAACAATCACAGTCAAACCCGCGAACTTCAACGCCGGAACACCGAAAAAACGACAGCAGCGCGTCAAACCCTACAATTCCTGTCATACAAACAGTTCATATCAAACATCCGATAACCCTAATTCCCCCGTTTTCCCTTCCGGATTCATCCCAAAGCCCACCAAATCAAACACCTGAACCACGCACGACCCTCGATTTGCAAAAGCTCTGTAACCACTATATAGCCAATCCACGAAACTGAATCAGTTTAAATCAGCCAAAGAGAATACTCTCTTGATCTGCACCGTACCCAGGCCCAGGCAACCAAATCTCAAACCCTAAAATACCGGCATCCGAACCCCCACCCCAATGAAAAATATGCGAAGAAAAAGTTTCCCTTTTAGGAAAACGCCCAAAAAGCAGAACGAAGAACCCTAACCCTAGAATAAGCTAACCCAGAGGAAGACGATAGAGAAATCTCACTGGATATTCGACATTGTTGGATCTCAAAGCTCTGCTGATTCTTAGTGAAAATAAGAACATAATAATAAGAATAATAATATGAATATTAATATTAGTATTAATAAGAAGAGATGTCAAATAATAATATGAATATTAATATTAGTATTAATAAGAAGAGATGACAAAATAAAGACGTGGAAATTAAAATTATTAAATTAAAAAAGCAAAGAACAACAGCAGTAAATATATGCAAATTAAAAAGTGATTTAGAAAAAATATATATTTAAAAAAAAATCGATGTCTTTCTCTTCTCAACCCCCTTTCCCAAAACAAAACGTCCAGTGAGAGGGAGAATAAATACTAGGGCCAAAAAAATAGACTGAGGGTTTGAGAACGGGCAGCGGGCAATGAAAAACAGACCTGGTTGGGCAGACATCAATCTCATCGTACCGTTGTTGTGCACTTCCAAGCTCGGCCCATCGATGGGACCCTAAAGTATACAAGCCTCGACCCTGTCCATGTTAGACTGACCGTGATTCCCGGGCAGCTCCGCTAAGGAAAAATAAAAAGGTTCTGATGAGAGCATCAGGGCTAAAGGAGCTGCCCTTAATTTTAAACCGTTGGATTGGATCATTTAGTTAATGTAGGCTACACTTCTGCCACTGGATTTTTTTTTCTTTTTTTGCAATGGATAAAAGATCCCACGTTCCCACCGGAATAATTGTTATAAACACACTATGTTGTAAAATATGAATGAAATGCAACATCTTCTATTCAATACAAAGTGGCTTTTGTTACAATTAAGGATTAAAGTATCGATATTGGGTATCATATCGGATAATTTGGATATGAATATGCTTGAGAAACACATAAATACAAACAAAAAATATAGAAATGCTTGGATACGCTAAGGAAATGCATACAATTTCAATAATTATATTAATAACTTCAAGTTTAATGTTAAAATGACTGAACAATGTATAAATACATAAAAAAAATTGTATATTTTAATGGTATATCTAAATAAATATATTATTGTTGATATAATGGGATGCATAGATATTATACAATTTTATTGATAATGCATCAATTTTTATTTTTATTAAAATCAAAGGCATAAAACATATGCAACCATTATATTTTAATTATTATATCAATTATTTTTATTTTATTATTTTTTATTTTTAACATCAACAAAAAATAAACTAAAAATTAATTTACAAATTTTCAGTAAATAATACTTGCATTTTTTTAAACAACAAAAGTGTTTATATAAAAATCTAAATGAAATTATCAATTAATAATTTATAAAAATATGTAATCTTAACTTAAAACATACCAAATTGATTAAAATTTTGATGATGCATATCATATGAAAATTCATAAATTTTAATTACTAAAATAATTATTCTAGTATTAATTATTCAATTTATATTATATTCTCAAATATTTTGTAAACAATGTTTTTCCTTTGTAATAATAAATAATTTGTTATTTAATGCAAATTAAAATAATAATTAATAATTTATAAAATTAATATTATAATTTATCAAGTCTACAAAAATAAAGTATTAAGATAATTATTCTATTAATAATATTTTTATTTGTATAAATTTATTGAACTTAAAAATCATTTATATATATGCAGATTTCATAATTTTTTTATTTAATTAGTCTATAAAATAGTAATTTTCAATATTATTCTTGTCAATTTGTACTTTGAGTTATTGAATATACTATTTGTTTTGATTAAATGTAAGAATTAATTTTAATAAAAATAATTGATTTCACTTATTATCATTGGATGCTAGGCGATTTGGGTTTCAAGGATCGAATCACATTAATCCCCTTTTCTAATGAAGCAATTTTGTATACGCTCTATATTGGTCAATACTATGCGCTACATGCCGATATGGTGGCGTATCGGACCGATACGCACGACTGGTACTATATAGTGCCACCAGTTTTGTCGCATCTTGTAACCTCCCATACCAATACCGATACATACACCCTGTATCGTGCATATCGTGTTGATATTTTAATCCTTGGTTACAATTAGTACTCAATTTTTAGGAAAAAAATGTTTACAACTAAACACGGTATAGTATCGTATCGGCCGATACTATGCGCTACGTGCCAATACGGTGGCGTATCTCATATCCTTCCATATCGATACATACGCCCCGTATTGTGCATATCGTGCCAATATTTTAATCCTTGGTTACAATTAATACTCATTTTTTAAGGAAAAAAATATGTTTACAACTAAATACAACACATAAGGTTGCGTTTGGAAGCGATGTAAAACCTCATTGATGTAAAAGTACATCGATGAGGTTTTACACCGAACCGTAAAAAAGTTTACCATTAAGCTTAAAAAAGCATGGAGAAATGTGTTGAATTTTAACATTGCTTATATTGATGTAGTATTTACATCGATAATCGATGTAAAACTTTACCTTTGATGAGGTTTTACATCAATTTACGACGTAAAACCCCACTACATCCAAATGCCAACAAATCTAAACCGAATTGGAGTTTTACATTTATCTTAATTTACATTCCATCCAATCGTCGACAAAACCAAACTGGCATCAACTTTTACATCGATGACATTTTAGATTGCTTCCAAATGCAGCCTAAAAAAGAATAATCATTTTCCTTTATTCTTCTTGTTATTGAAATGGAGATTAATATGATAATAATATACTTATGATTGCATGTCAATAGTACAATATGACATTTTTCTAATACCTTGTCTCAATAATTCTTACCAATAAATAAGAGATTGAAGATGATGTTTATCCATAGAAATAAGGTGGGTGGATAATATGAAGGGGCGCACGTAAAATCTTATGTAATAGATGAATACCAATTAGATAAAATGAAAGTTTTATAAAACATTTATATGGTTTGGTATGTAGCCTATGTTGTATGGAGTATAAAGTTCAGCAATCAAGAAATAACATGTCAACAAATAAGTATGGCTAAAATATGTATGTTAAGATGGATGAGTGGAAAAAGCACAAAGGGTAGGGTTAAAGAAATGAAGTCATTAGAAATAACTTAATATGTTGTAATTTAAAGATGAACTATATGGGCAAGAGATGGCCCAAAAAAGTACATGGGTGGAAGTAGCTATAAGTGATTTCATGTTTGGCATCCATCTGGAGAATCGTTTCTAGCGATTCCCACAATTATCGAGATGAAAATCATGTTTAGGTTCGATTGCTTTTTAGAATTAGTTCAGTCCTAGATAAAATCCCAACCCAATATGAGTGATTCTATGAAGTGAAAATTTGTCGTTTTTTATGATGAGAAATCTCCTCACAATAATTATTGTTACGAGCACTATTCATTTTTCGAACACGTGTGCCCATGTCCAATGTACAAACATGGTGTCTGCACCCGACCCTCGTTATCCTAAACACTCAGAACACAGATTACCTTGATCTTAACACACCCGAACCAATCAGACCACACCTTTAGACTCCGGACACACCAAAACACCTGCCCATGAAATTTTAACCCTAGATTCCCACATTTGTCCCTCTATTAAACTAAGATTCCACTCCGAAACATCCCATTGACCCAAATTCTTACGATCCTGACCCTCTAAGACTGATCAGACCTATCATTAGATCCAAGACACCTCCAAATACCCACCTATAAAAATTTCATCCAAAAACACCTTTGCGTACCCTCTATCGCACCAAGATTCAATTTTAAGGCTCCAGATGGACCAGATTCAAAATCAGCCCAATTCGGGCCTAGTTGGCCTAATTTAACCTTACCAATCACATTAGATTGCCCAAAAACCCTACCATATGAAATTTCATCCAAAACAAACCTTGTTTGCCCCTCGATCACACAAAGATTATATTTCGAGGCCCCTAGATTAACCGAATTGAACCATTTCCAGATCTGCCCAATCCGAGCCCAGTTGGGCCAATCTAACCCCACCAATCAACTCATAATGCCCAAAAACCCCATCCAAAGAAATTTCATTCAAAAATACCCTCATTTACCCTTCCATCTAAAAAGATTCCATTTTGGTTTATCTCGTTAATCCGCTCACACAAACCTCTTCAACACTCAGACCCATCTCAACCCTTTTGTTTTAACCCATAAATCCCCACCATTGAACCAAAAACCCAGCCTAACCCTTTTAGACCCGGTTTGACCTCACTTTTTTCAAATTACTAAAACACCCTTAAATTTTCCTGAATTTACAAAATTGCCCCTTAGCCCTAATATAAGATTGAACCTATCTTTCTCACTAAGGCTAATACACTGTTCACTCTCCCTGACCCTTAGATATATAGTGGCGGAGCGGCGGAAATCTCTCTCCACTGATCCCTGTCTATTGCTCTCTCTCTGTTTTCTTCTTCTCCTTATCCTCCTCCCCCTTCATCATCATCATCTTCTTCTTATTATTATTATTCTTCTTATCCTTCTTCTTCTTCCATTGTCATTCATTTCCCTATTCTCTCCCCTATTCAAACGAAACTAGTGAGCGGCAAGCGACAATCCCCATGCCTCTCCTCTTCACTCCGACCTCTCTCTTTTCATTCTTCATTCTTCTTTTTTCTTTTTTCTTCTTTCTTCTTCTTCCTCCTCCTTTCTCTATTTCCGTTCATCACCGCAGCGGCGGATTCGAACCAGTTGTAGCGGCAAAACCCCCTCCATTAGATCTCTCTATGCTTCTACTTACGAATCCAACAAAATCGTCCTTCCTTGCTACGGTCGTCGCTACCTACGAATCCGACAGAGCATACAGTCATCGGCAAAACATCGTTTTCTACCAGATCTAGTAAAGACCCCGTCATTTTCGGCATCGCTTCTCCTTTCTCCACTATTTACGGTGGTTTCTTCTCTTGTCCTGCTCTCGCATTAGGTAGCAAACCAAGACCTTCCCGATTCCATGAGCCTGAATCAAGCAAGTTGCAGAACCCATTTTCAGCTTGCTCGTACTTAGAAAGCGGAAGCAGGATCCACTTGACCTCTATAATCTGATAACGACCCTAGAGTACATCGATTTCACTGGAATTCCCATCTGTAGCATTAACCAATCGGCCAATACATTCTCAGGTAACTACAAACTCAATCTTCTTGTTTCATCTCTATCAAA